ATCTAAGGGGGGAAAGAGAGTGAGAGAGAGAGAGAGAGAGAGAAAGAGAGATGAAATAGAAAAAGAGAAAGAAATAAAGAGAGAATCGCTTGAGGCACGAATGCTGAAGCGATTCGGAGAAATAAAAGAGAAAGAGAGAATCGCTTGAGGCACGAATGCTGAAGCAATTCGGAAAAATAAAGAAAAAGAGAGAATCGCTTGAGGCACGAATGCTGAAGCAATTCAGAGAAAAATAAAGAAAAAGAGAAAATCGCTTGAGGCACGAATGCTGAAGCGATTCGGAAAAATAAAGAGAATCGCTTGAGGCACGAATGCTGAAGCGATTCGGAAAAATAAAGAAAAAGAGAGTGAATCGCTTGAGGCGTCAGACGCTGAAGCGATTCAAGAAGTAAAGAATTAAGGAAGAGAATTGCTTGAGGCGTCAGACGCTGAAGCAATTCAGAAAGTGTAAAGGGTAAAGAAGGTGAATCGCTTGAGGCGTCAGACGCTGAAGCGATTCAAGAAGTGAAGAATTAAGGAAGAGAATTGCTTGAGGCGTCAGACGCTGAAGCAATTCAGAAAAATACAGGAAAAAGAGAGAACCATACACGAAGAAGGAAGGGGAAGAGAGAGATATATTATAAATGGTCGAATAATAATAAAAGAACAAAAAAAATTGGTTTCTTACTTTTGAGATGAATGGGGTGTTGATAAATGGCTACCGGAGTCCCTTGAAGATCGGGGCCTGTGATGGAGGAAGGTCCTGGACTGGTCGGATGTAGATGCTGCTTTGTCACGGACACTCCGAAATTTTTATAATTGTCACACTCGAATTGCAGAGTACGGAAGTTATAGAACTTGAGACTATTTTAAAATGTACTGTCAAAGATTGGATCCGCGCTATTGGAACTAAGGAAGTGAAGTTTCGTAGTCTCACGGCTTCATATTTATACTTGCGGAGGGCGATATGCCCTTCTTTGTGTAATCGGACTTTGGACTTTGATCGGGATTGACTTCCGGGAAATGGAAAAATTTGGGTCAAATGATGTGTCGAATTTTCATTGGTCCTGGAAACGCGCGTGTAGCGTTGAACTCTATTAACCCGAAGATGTTTTTCTATAAGATCCATGAGTGCCGGTTGACCTTTTGATCTCGCGACGTGGCTTATCATCTGAATTCGTCGGTCAAGACAAATTTCCTTTTTTTTTAATTATTTAATAATTGTTTGTCGACGCTCACTCATTGATCTTCAAATTAGAAATAAGAAGCAGGAAGAAACGATATTATTTGTTTAAGTTTCTTCGTACTCCTTGTTTAGTTAATCCTTATTATATTTCTAGTTTTTCTACGAAAGAAAAGATTCGTGGAGTCCCTCGGACGTAACATAATAATTGACACAAAATTAAACATGAAATTAGACATCATTCATTCCTCACCGACTTAATTAGTTATAGCATTATCAGTGTCTTTCGTTATCTCTATAAAATCATCTAGATAATCATCTAGATGAATAAATGGCTTTATCTTATCTAGATGATTAAAAATATAGATTATCTTTATCTTATCTTAGATAAAAGAAATGTTATCTTTTTCTAACTATCGAAAATTGTACAAAAGTATTATAAGAAATTAAGAGTTTCTATTTTGTTGGCTAGGAAAAATGGGTAATTTTTAGGAATTTCTAGAAAAGAAACTATTAAAGAAAATTTTAAAATTTGGAATTCATTTAAATTTATCTTAAATGAACAAAAAAAAGTCGCTACAACAATTTAAGTAATAAGTAAGCTGGGACGGCTTTATGAGCGGAGTATGTGGAATATGAAAGGGCCAGTTGGTAGAAGTTCTTAAAGACTCAAAAGTGATCTAAAAAAAACAACCAAAAATTTTTTGTAATCTATAGAGATTCATGCTTTATATAGACTAAAATAAAAAAATTATTAGGTGCTTGAATTAATTCTTGCTGTTTTTTATTAAAGACTCGTACTTATTTTATTAAAAAGATATGTGATATTTGATTCACAATATTGTTCATCGAAAGCTATAACCTTTTCCCACTTTTCGAGTGACAAATGGATTCCGCGGTAGAAAAATTCAGGTTCTTTCGAGACGATTCAGTCATCGAGCCATTTTTTAATATTTTCTTAATAACTGAAATGCTATTCAGGAAGACCATGCTGCATCGACCGAAACAAATGGTAATCTGATGGAGCAACATCTGGTGAATAGGGCAGGTGAGGTAAGACATCCCATCCAAGTGTCTCCAAAATTTCCTTCACTGGTTGTGCAACATATGGTCTGGCGTTGTCATGGAGAAGAATAACTTTATCATGTCTTTTGGCGTGTTGCGGGCGTTTTTCTTTGAGTGCTCGATTCAAATTGAGTAATTGACGTCAGTAGCATTCACCGTTGATGGTTTGCCTCGGTTACAGCAGCTCATAGTACACGACACCGACTTGATCCTATCAAATGCACAGCATGATCTTCTTTCCATGAAAATCCTATTTTGGCATTAATGCTGATGGTTCATCGGGACGCATCCATGATTTTTTGCGTTTAGGATTGTCGTAACGAATCCATTTTTCATCGCCAGTCACAATTCGATGCAGAAACGACTTCCGTTTTTGTCTTTGGAGCAGCAATTCACAAATGACTGATGTCTCTCAATTCAGGTCAGACTCAATTTCCTAACTTTTGGAACATTCCCATTGCTTTTAAACGTTTGCTAACGATTGACACATTGACATTTACTGTTTCCGACTCTTTGAGCATTTGACATGAATCTTCTTGAAGTAATACCTTCAATTCTCTATCTTCATTTTCAGTTGACCAGGGCGCTCTTTGTCAGTCACGTCAAAATTGTTGTTTTTAAATCTTCTAAACCAATCTCTGCAAATTGTTTCAGATAGAGCATGCTCCCCATAAGCCTCCACTAGCAAATGATGACTTTCAGCAGCAGATTTCTTGAGGTTAAAACAGAAAAGTAACGCTTCCCGCAAATGCTCTTTTTTGGTACAAAATCCGACATTTTTAATACGATAAAAAATTATGTTCTTTACATTAGGTCAAATGTATAATTCTGATTATTAAAGCCTATTCATACTTTCACATACATAAGCAGTCACTTTCGATCATGTTGGAACCATCGACATATAGTACTGGACGGAGCATGCGGCGAAATCTCTTTGATCTTTCGTGTTGACGGACCTAGAAAGAGTAAGGTAAATGTTTAGGCACGGAACTTTCTTTCTACTATTGTCCTATTGGTCGAATTATGTTGCAGGAGAGGAAGGACAGTAACGTATTCTTTAAAGTCAGGAGCCATTACAGAGGTATTATTACACAGTAATACTACTGCGGTGCAAATTAAAATCGGAAAATTATATACATTATATTATATATAAAATAAAATTGAGTAATATGGTTTCTACGTGTATTTTATGTAAGACTAACACTTTGAGCACAGATGTGTCACAAGGCCCTTGATTACATGATTCACTACTACCCAAACATCGTTCTATCTCTTTCTAGGTCTGTCAACATGGTTTCGATGCTATACTCCGTCCAGTACTATATGTCGATGGTTGGAACAGCACAAATACTGACCTCTCCCGGTCAACAACGAAAATTAATTCAAGCACCTACTAAAAAAATTTGGTAAAAGTGCATAAAAAGAGAAACCAGCGCTATGACCTTGACCTTGATATATGTTGATATATTTTTCGATAAAAAAGGAAAAATAAAAAAAAATAAAAAAGGAATTGTTCGTTTTTTAATTCTCTACAACTTCTTTTCAAGTCACTTTTACATTTTCCGTTAAGAATACCGAGTAAAAAGCAAAAAACAAAAAAAACTTATTTTCAGTACAAAAATCGCAATAAATCGTTCGATATCTCGAAAAATATCGGTCGCACGACAAAATATTATAGACAAAAATTGAAGAGCATAAAAAAACCTTTAAAATGGGCCTAATAACGACCTTTTAAATTGATTAGAATCCGAGTTATTGCGAAAAAACCATTATTTTGGTGTTTTTAACTATAGCAAAAAAGACAACCGGGAAACAGAGGTCGAAAACTTCAAATTAAGCTTTTCTTGACATCCCTGAGACCCCCCAAGAATAAAATTGCTACTTCCAATTTTTTCTTTTTTAAATGTACATAATGACTGGACTAGTAGGATTATGGCCAAAATGTAATTATATTAATCAGGAGTCCAGTCACCAGCCGCGTCTATAATAGACTGGCACCTCCGAGGCATACTTTCCACTACCGTCTGTCTAGTAAGAGCGTAGCAAGGCTTACCCACAGTCGACTAAAAATATACTCTGAATTTTTGTTTTCGCCGATAGGTGTCACTTTTGTGCTGCATGCATTATAAGTATCCGTTGTTGCTTGAATTATGTTAGAATAAACAATTTTCAAAATGAGTGCTGCCTACTCATTTCGAAGCAGGCTTTATTTCTTTACTGACAACCTGAATGCTGAGAAAATGTTAAAAATATACCAAAAAGCTTTGATTCCTTCTGCTTAACGCTGATTTATCAGTAAAGATAAAGATTGGTTACTCCAGGCGGATAATGACCCCGAACACCGAAGCTGGCTCTGCACGTCCTGAAAAGAGTGAAATGACATCAAGATATTCCACTGGCCTTCACAATCACCCCATGCGAATCCCATTGAAAATGTGTGGTCACTCATCAAGAGGAAGCTTTGTGAAAGACCGACATCAACTTCAAAGCGCTTAAAAAACAAAATTCGACGAATCTGGAGGTCTTTGCCATGTGAATATGCGATTTCTTTAGTGAAAAGTATATCTCGGAGGTGCCAGTCTATTATAGACGCAGCTGATAACTGAACTCCTGATTAATATAATTGCATTTTGGCCATAATCCTACTAAATACAATCAATATAAATTTAAGGCTAATAAGCCATTTTTCTTTGAGGTAAGCCTGTCACGCTCTTACTGGACAGATAGTATATATAGTGATAACTCACCGAAGAATTGGGTTGGTCTTGCGCAGATTGGACTTCCAAAGAGATGTGAGGATTTTGGCTGCTCTAGAAGATTGTAATATCGCACGAGTCCTAGGCGCTTGTTACCGCGAAGAACCGTATTGCGTGGTGATGGAATATCTGGAACATGGGGATCTCTGTCAGTTCCTCAAGACGCATATCACTGCCGAAGACGCGCATTCCATGCCGATTGGCGTCAAGACACTCAGGTAACTTTCTAGTGACGCATTCCGACATTAATCAAAACCTAGCTTATACATATATAATTCTTTTCGTATTATTTTCTATTCAAATTATTTCTATTATATACTATCTATTAACTAATTTATATTAAAATTATTAATTAACATTAATGCCTATTACGTTAATTTCTAAATTACTCTCGAATTTGCGTAATGAATCTTTTTTTTATTTTTCATTTTAACTATTTTTCATTTTATACTAGAATGCAATTTAATACATATGTATCGCCTAAAATATTTTTCTGCTGATTTGTTATTTTATTGATATAAAGTGAAAGAGCAGTGTTTATTAAAACATTTGCTATCATTTTTCAAAAAAATGGCACACGTGCAGGATGTTTTATTGCATATAACGGTCGCCGAGGAAATTGAACATTTCCAAATAAAAGCAACGCAGTATCTTCAAAAATATCAAATTGGAGTGAATAAAATTGTGAAAAAGTCATGGAACACATACATTTGAATGAAAGTAATATCCTGTTTGTAAAAAAAATGAGGGTGTGTGTGTGTGTGTGTGTGTGTGTGTGTGTGTGTGTGTGTGTGTGTGTGTGTGTGTGTGTGTGTGTGTGTGTGTGTGTGTGTGTGTGCGCGCGCGCGCGCACGCATATTCATATATAAAATCTCATTAGAGATCCTATGCTTCACGTTAGGAGTTAAAGGAACATGTATGTATACATATACATATGTACACTGTTAGAAATGTTTGGAAAATTCCATCATATTTAAAATACTGAAGCAACTTAATTTTACTAATTTAAGGCGTTGAGAACAAAAGTTAGTAACATTTATAGCAAATTTACTAAATTTTCCTTAAAATTCTGATGTTGTATCTCATAATTACAAATGGTTTCTTAAAATTACTAAATGATAACGGAAATTAAGACATCGCGTCTGAAAGCAGTTGCGCAATGTTTTCTACGCGGCTTTCTGCTTTTCCGTGCACATTTTAATGGCCGTTACCAGCTTCAAGAGAGCTATGGACCCCACGATGAAAGGATAGAGTTTGGCAGTTTGCAATACAGTAATACTGATTAAAGTCTTGTGAGGTCGCTTGAGCAGGTTGGACGTGTTTCGTTTCGTCGCGACTCGGGTGTTGCATCACCTCAATTAATATTTTTGAAAAAGTGTTGCCGACTTTGACCGAGCCTAGTATATCGGAAGTCTTTCACTCGTCTGGACACGCGGGGGTGCGGAGAATGCTACGCATAGTGGCCGCAGGCATCCAGTGTTTACGCACCATTTTTCATTTTGTTGCATCATCTTTCATACACACACACCTGCTCGGTTTTGAGGTGACCGCTGCTTTGCATACAGTTTCGTCTTTTTGGGGAGTCCTGTGGAAAGTTGGAGGTGTTTAGGAAGCGACTGACCAAGTTTATCTTGTCGAAGAGGACCAGGTCCATTAATCACTAAAGAAGAAGTAATACAGATTACAAGTATCACACGTATTAAGTGTTATTTTCAACTTTACATCCAAAGTAAGTATAAACAAATTTAAATAATAGTTAAGTACAGGACTCTTAATTTAAAAATAACAATTATGTAATATAAAAGGACCAGTAAGAGTCTGATAAATAGAAATACTTTATCAAATATTCAAATAAAAGTACTAGACATACTGTAATGATGCGCCCGTAACCGCATCGTTCCCGTAGCCGATCCAGCCGGATGCCACTGCACTGTTCTCACCAGTGAGTGCAGCGATGAGATACGCTCGCATATATTTTTAAACGTTTATCATAAGTTCGGCCGCCGACAGTAGCAAGCGCCGATCCGACCGAACGCGACCGAAAATCGCCGATCGATCAACGGTTCGTGAGAACCGCCACTCCGACCGAACGCGACCGAATATCATCGATCGACGATTTCCTTCGCAAGGATCGCCGACCGCCGAACGAAGAACGGAACAAAACGAACGGAAGCAACAATTAGTATAAAATACGCAATTGTTGCAATGAACGCTCAATTCCGTCCAGTTCCTTACTCCGATCAACTACCATTCTCCAGAATCCGAAAGCCAGTGACTTGACCAGAAAAGGGGATAGAGAATTCTCTGCCTCCGCCGAGCGTTCTTGGCAGTCGATCACCAGTTTGCATAATCCGCCAGCGTTACGACGAGAAAAGGGGGTAGAGACTAGAGAGTGCTCTGTCTCCGCCGAGCGTTCTCGGCAGTCGTACGCCAGCATCCTCGTGTCCACAGGCAATTGACGAGAAAAGAGGGTAGAGCGTTCTCTGCCTCCGCCGAGCGTTCTCGGCAGTCGACCGCCCGTGCAACCGCACTCCTATTCTAGTTAGCAAACCAACGAGATAAGGGGGTGGAGAGTTCTCCGTCTCCGCCGAGCGTTCTCGGCAGTCGGTCGCTAGCGCATACGCTCTTTCGTCAATACCGCAAAGCGTCATTCATTACATTGAGGGAACGCCCGTCAATTATTCGCGCCGCGATCCGCCACTGGCGTATACCCGTGTACGCGATATATCCGCGTCATAATACCGCCGACCGCGCTCCGCGAATCCCGCGTCCATCTCGTATTGGGATTTAAAGATTCCACATGTTGTTATAGTACTCGCGCCGTAATTGATACTTTCGTTGTTCTGTTCGCGTCTGTTATCCGTCTCGTCGACACACACACACACACACACACACACACACACAC